CATTAAGAAATGGATGTCTGTTTTCCCGCAGAATGTGTGACCAGAGGAAGCTGTGGTGAAGATGTGGACATACTCCACAAATTTCCTGAACACACGATGTGGTGTTTGCTCTGCCAGGGGAGAGGCTTTCTGGTTGACCACACCTGAGATGAATGAGACAGTGCCTGGAGAAACGGGATGAGCTGGGTACTCAAGGAAGAGATCTCCAAGAAAACTGTGGTGCAAGTGTTTGAATGACAGGCATGCTGTGCAGGATGCAGGATGAACAGATGCTCGAGGAACACGCAGCTAACCTGACCAAGACGAGGAGCAAACTCCTTCCCTGCTGCGCTACCTGGGCAGCAGGCCCCCGGGGAAGTGGTGGGCCAGGGGAAGTCATCCTTCTTTCTCCCATGGCTCTTTGCTGGGCAGCATCCTAACCAGGTCTCAAGCCGAAGAGCCTCGACTTTATGTCACAACTGCATTACCTTCTATTATTTAAAAAGAATTAGGTTTCCACCTATAGAAAGCAGAACAAAGAAGGAGTGATAAGGTGTGATAAAGGCTAGCCGGTGCCAGGCAAATCGAAGGGTCTGTCTTTGAATTTTTGGGGGTATGCACTTGAACCTCATTTGATCCACTGGGTTTTTCATGAGCTTGGGCCCCGTTCCCCCGGGGGGGTAAGCTGACTCCGATGCTCACAGCATTCTTCACTCCGTGATACCCAGGCCAGGGCTCGTCTCAGGTGGCAGCCCAGTGCCAGCCTCCACCTCACCTCCGCACTCACCTCACCTACTGCGGGGTCCATGGATGACCAGCCCAGGAAGACTGCTTCTCATGCTCTTCCTCCTTGTCACCTGCTGAGAGTACTGGTGACAACTGCTGTTCTCCTCACATGGAAGTCCCTCCTTGCCTGTCTGTGCATCTCTCTTTGCTTTCTGCCTCAGTCTCCCTGCCTGCATCTTGCTTCTCCTCCTGGGATCTGCCCCGTACCAGGTCTCTCTTTTCTTCATCTCTTCTTCTCCATGCATGTGCTATCCCAGCTCACCGTTCAACTCCAGCACAAGGGGATGTGACTCCCCATCTCTAGTTCAGGGTCTTCTTCTCCCAAGAAAGCAACCTGGCACCTCTCAGATTCTCCTGGCACTTCATTTCTGGCAGTTACAAAGACACGTTGCATGGGATTCTCTGCATGTGACACCGTCCTGCAGACCAGGGCCTGCCTGCAATGCACCATGGGAAGGGACTTGCTACTAAGATCTGATATTTAGCTCTGGGACCCCTAATAAGAACTCATAGACTAGTTGACTTGAATTCAAGACAACGGAAAATCTGAGGGACTTGGAGATTTCTTGACGTACCCCGACATGCATCCTACATCTCCTGCACCCCAGCAGGTCCTGTCCTGGGAGGCCCAATCCACAAGGGCTCTGAGGCAACATGGGGTCTGGCCCCTTGGCAAGTTGTGAAATAATTGTTGGTCTTTGAGATGTGGGGAGGGCAGAGCCCCTGGCTCCTGGGCTGATGGAAGGCAGAGGTGAAGCTGGGGTGGATTCGCTGGGAGCTGCTGTGGATTTCACTCCCAATGCTCTTCTGACACTCGGGAAAGGCCGTGCAGTCACTGAGAAGAGCTGGGGGCAGCAGGCAGATTTCCCCAGAACCCCCTGCGGGGTGTTGGCCGGCAGACCGCTGAAGCACAGGGTCACTTGACTTGCTTTCTTCTCTGTCATTCAGAGTGCAGAGTGGCCTTGGGTTCAGAAGTAAAGCAAGCAGGCCGGGGGAGTTGCCTGCCACTACATTAATCGCACAGCTTTCTCAGGTAGAGAGAAGCGGGGTTGTTTGCACTTTCCATGGTCGGCCAGTGAGAAAGCTCCACGGCCTTGGAGGAGCACCTGTGAAAGCGTTCACGCAGGTGTGAACAGGGTGCACCCAAGGGAGAGCTCCATCAGTCCCCCACGCCGGTGTGAGAACTCTGCAGCCCAGACCCTTAGTGTCGGGGGCCTGAGTCCCTGGGAACGGGGGTCAGCGTCAGACAGTGGGGAGAGCTGAAGTCAGAGAAACAAGACAGGACAAATACAATGAAGTTTTGGGGGTTTTACTCTTGTTTTGTTACCGTCAAAAACACTTTTTCCTTAAAAAGTAGCTTTTCCTAATGTGTGTCTTCCTCATGCCTCCACCAAAGGTAGCACCCAGTGGTGTCTGAAGTCAACTGGCCTAATTCGAATGCATATTTTATTGTCACATTTCATTGTCTAAACTATGATTGTTAGCAAGGATCCAAGTATTCTTGTGTGGGAACAAGCCAGGTAGGGTTGCACACCCCCGCAATTACAGCCACCTGAGAGAAAGAGGTCGGAAAATGATGATTTGGAGGCCAGCTAGACAAAGTTACAAAATGCAATTGGTGATACTTTCTTTTTTTTGGGGGGAGGGAGGGTCCAGTCGTGGGGCCTGAACTCTGTGCCTGGGCACTGTCTCTCAGCTCTTCAGCTCAAGGCTAGCGCTCTACCACTTGAGCCACAGCGCCACTTCTGGCTTTTTTTCTTTTTGCTTATGTGGTGCTGAGGAATCGAACCCAGGGCCTCAGGCATGCAAGGCAAGCACTCTACCACTGAGCCACCTTCCCAGCCCACAAAATGCAATTGGAAAGATAGACTAAAAACAAGAGGATTGGGGCATAGTTCAACTGATTCAGTGCTTGCAAAATGGGTGCAAACGGGTTCAAGCCCAAGCACCACAAAAAGTAAAACACTGTAATTGAATTAATACGAAAAGATCTTATTTAAAATGTTAATATTATTCAAAATGACAATAGTTCATGTGTCCCTTAACTTGGTGAACAGCACCCTTGAGTATATTGTCTATTTTTGCATGCAGAATGTCTGGATTTTTGTTTCCTATTAAGTGCATTGAGTATATATGTTCTCTACTATAAAGAACAAGACATTTTCTTGTTTTCCCTTCTTGTTTTAAGAATGCCATTCTCATCTCAGTAGGATGACCAAGGATCTGAAGACTTTTGAAGCCCAGGAGAGTCTTAGTCAGTCAGCAGCACAATGAAGGGAAAAATCAAAGATTTATCCCTGTTACAAATAAGCTAGCTACTGATCAACCTTCTTTGCCAAGGGAGCCTAGGGGTCATTCAGTTTGCATAAAACTTCTGCCCATGTATGCATGCATATCCATCCATCCATCCATCCATCCATCCATCCATCCCATTCCTTTTCCTTCCCCACCCTTCCTTCTCCTCTCCCTCCATTCCCTTCTCTTTCTTCTCTCCCTCCCTTTCTTTTCTCCTCCCATTTTCTTCTTCCTTTCTTCCCCTTTTCTTTCTGCCTTCCATCCCTCCTCCCCTAACCTTTTCTTCTATCTTGTATTCTTTCTCTCACCATGTATGGATGAAAACAAGATAAGCCAATTGGCATGAACAACTCTGATTTTTTTTTCCTTTTGTAGCTCTGATGCTGGAGGCTTCTAGATGGATGAGTTACTCACAGCCTGCCTTCAAAGAGTCCCAGAGATCAAGGACAACCTTGGTCATTCAAGCTGCTGATGTGAACCATGAAGATCAAAATCATAAAGAAGCAAGTAAGTTCCTGCTAGGAAGGCGTGCACAGCAAGACATCCATCTCCCTCAGCACACAGCGATTGCTGAGTGTTTGGAAAGGTAAAAACAGTTATTAGGTTACACAAAGGTAATGTCTATACTGCACTCTCTACATTACTTGATTATTTCATTCTACAAAAATCAATATGGCATAGACACTGTCCTCAACTCCAGGTTTTTCTCTCTAGAAGGGTGGAAGCATTTCTTTGAGGAAATCCAAAAACACAAAATCTTTTGGTAACGAAAACCAGGTCCAATATGTACATGGAATTTATAGGACAACTCAAATGTAAGTTTCTGCCGACTGCTCCGTGCTAGAAAGGAACTTGCCACTTTTAAAAATCTGCACGAATCAAGTACATTTGGATTGTTGTCAAACTTGAAGCAAGCACCGCTGTTTAGACTTGGAGCTGAGTTAAACTTTGGAGAGAGACAGGGAGCAAGTTTTAAAGGAAGATGGCAGCCAATTTCTTTCATGATTATTTTTTATTTTTTCCAAGAACAGTTAACATTTACTAGGCACCTATTGGCCTTAGTCACTTGCATCTAAAGAGCAAAGCTAATTAACCCACAGCCCACGTTCTTTGAAATGGTTAGCCTTATTTCCTAGCTCTTTTCACCACTAGTCTAGCATTAGCTTCAAGGTCGTAATTATCTACTGCTCCCTGTCCGATGAACAGAAAAGTCAGGGGGTGATAGGATCAGGCGAGCAGTTTACATCTTCTGTAGATACTTCAAGTAATTGGCCCCAAGGGGAAACTACTGAGTTGGCCATGGTTTCTCGTGTTCTGAGGACATAAAATGTGGAAGGAAATTGACCTGTAGAAAGAGTTAATATCCAAGAATGTGTGAACGTGTGAAAATCCTATAACTTTATCTCAGCTGGCCTAATATCCTGAGTCACTAGATGATCAGAAGAATACAGTACAAAAGGAATGGACTGATGTACATTGATTCTAAAACCCCCAAAACAGAAGTTTGTACAAGATGAACAAGTGAAATGAAGTCACTTCTACCGAAACAAAAATCTCACACAGGTCATTTCTGTTTTTTTTTGTTTGTTTTTTTGTTATACGTACGTGGACATACACACACCCACACACGCACAGACACACAAGCAAGAATGTGTATTTTGTAAGATAAGATCCTTGGAAATAGACATTCTTAGCAAATGTGGATGACAGATCAATTGGAATTTATTTTCTTTTAACACTGGATCATCATAAAGAAAACTGGTATAAATGAAAAAAAATCTATCTCAAATATCTACATCTAAAATTTTTAGGCAGTGACAAAGCACTTCTTTGACGAGGAGGAGGGTGGGATGATGGATGTTAGTTGTCCCAAATGCTGGGTGCCGTGGTTAGTTTTCACAAATTCACATATCAGAACGAACAATACTGCTAAATATTCCTTTTTTTTTTTTTGCTTTTCATTTTTGTTAAAACATACTGGGAGAAAGAAAAGAAAAGGAAAAAAACCTGGAAATCCATACATCTTTCAAAAGTCTGAAATTGAAGCAATATTTAGAACCATAGATGAGGGAACAGGGTAGCATTGGTGTAATATACACAATGCACTTTTTTCTTCTTTTAATCTGTAATGTACATCAAATACTTTACAACAATGCTTTAACAAAAGGCAAGAGAACATCTTGCTGTACAGAGGAACCCGATGCAGCTTGTAGCCTAGAGTCACACGGATGAAGGGAGTAAAGAAAGTGTGCGAAGCCGTCCCCCATCAAGTGTGGAACCTCGTCTGCCCTGTGCTTGGCCACCGCCCCCAGGCCCCCTCCCCTCCCTCCCCCCTCTCTCCTTCCTCCTCCACCTCCAGAATAAAGCACTTGTAAGACTCTAAGCTCACACTAGGTCGGTGCAGGGACACTGCCCTATTTAGGATTGCCTTAGCGTTCGTTCTACCGATTTCCAAGTTAGCCTTCCATTCAGTTTAGCTTTCTAAAATAGCTCTGGCTATCTCCTTATTGGTTATCACAGCCTTCCTACGGAACAGGCTTGAAAAACTAAAGTGGCAGGGAAAGAAGAAAAGAAACAGAAGTGTGTTGTGGTATGCATGCACATGCACTGTTCCGCAGCGCCTCCTGCCGCCTGGCCTCACACCCACGAGTCGGGCGAGGCCGGGTAGTGGCTCGTTTCATAGTTCAGTTCGCTGTAGGGGCGGGCGGCGGAGTAGAAGTCTACGTAGTTGCCGGTGGACTTGAGGCCCAGGTGCATGGTGTACTCGCTGGCCGGGGGGCGGTGGTGGACCTGGTCCTCGAAGAAAGACTCGTCGTAGTTTCTCGTGGAATTCTGAAATGGCTGGTAGGTCTCGTAGTCTTTCCTGCTGGGCTCCTGGGGGGCGGGCTGTGCTGAAACCTGCGGGGAACACAGGAGCCCCCAGTGAGCGACTTCCACCTGCCACCCTCCTCTCCCTCTGGAAAGACACGGAACCCCCCAGGCGCTCTCCACTGCGGTTGCCTTTCCTGAGTGTTTTCTGGTTCTGGTTGTGCATATTATGGGGTGTGTGTGTGTGTGTGTGTGTGTGTGTTGGTTACTTGATTACCCCATGTGCACTCAGTGTGTGTGATGAGATCAGGGTAATTAGCATCTTACTGTTTCCTAGAGTTTGGGAATCTTCAATGTCCTTCTAGCTCTTCATGAAACCCAATCAAAACCATTGTGAATAAGTTGCCCTGTTGTACTGTAGAACGTGGAAGCTTATTGGACCACAGTGGATGCTTCTTGGACATTCTGGCACCCTTAGCTGACCTCTCTATAAAGCCTTCCCCCCTCCCCCACCTCCTCTCCATCTGTCCTAGGCTCTACTGACCACTGTTCTGCTCTCTACCTCCATGGAACCAACTTCTTCAGCTTCTACGTTTGAGGACACGCTGTTCTTGTCCTTCGGGGCCAGCGTTAGTTCACTGAGTGGACTGTCCTCCAGAGCCTTCTCGTGTTGTGACAGATGATAAGATTTCACTGAGACACTCGGCTGGCTAGTATCCTCCGTTGTGTGTGTCTGCCACTCTTCAAAAGTGCTCCTTCCTGGTCCATAGTTATCATTCCATGTAACGTTATGCTTTATTATTAATAATACTTTTCTTATTATTTGAATGTATTTAATATAAAACTGACCGTTTAAAACCATTTCATTCAATGGTGTTAGTGTCATACACACACCCACACATATGTATATATCATCACTCAATTGTCACAACTTTTTGCCGTCCTAAAGAAACTCTGCGTCCATTAAACTTCCCTTCCTGTGGAGCACTCTGCTCCCGGCCCCCTCCATTCCACTTGGAATCTCTAGGACTTTGCCTCTTCTAGAAGGCTCATCTGACTGGCGTCATCCAGGTCTTTTGTCCTTGGGGTCTGGTGTCTTTCATGGAGCATAATGTGTTCACGGTTCAGCCATGTTCTTTGTTTTTTGAGACTCAATATCTGCTGTTTCCCTGTGGGGGCAGGACTGCATTTATTTATCCATCTAGGTGCTGAACTCTCTACCTTTGCTGGCTGATTTGAATTGCTGCTTTTGCTTCTTTCCGGTAGAGTCAGCAGTGAGTCAGGGAGAATTCTGTTTAACCTTCCAGAGAACCACCAAATGATTTGCTCGAGCAGCAATACTAAAGTTAGTGATCACATTTAGTGTGTGTGTGTGTGTGTGTGTGTGTGTGTGTGTGTTTGCTCCAGGGGCCCAAGGCTGCCCTGAGGTCAGGCCTCTCCCCCACACTAGCCTAAATGACTGTGACCCTGGATGGATAACACACACCACATATTTTGCCTTCTGGAGGACTGAAATACAGCCAAACTTGGTGCCATCAAGAATAGATTAAGGGGGAGACTGGTGAAAGGGGTGATGCTGATTAAGATGCGGTATACTCACCACACAAACTACTGATTAAGATGCATTACACTCACACAAACTCACATGTTGAATTGATATGCCATTGTACAACTACTTAAGGATAATAACAATAAGGATAACAGCAATAAGAAGATTGGATCTGAGACTGCTGTGGTAGTTTGAAGCCTCTGGTTAAAGAGAGGGCTGGAGCCCCGTCCCCCTCAGCTCTCCCCAGACTTGTGCGGTTGGATGGCAGGGCTGTGAAGCCCTCACAGGAGCCTGCAGACAACAGGGGGAGTAAGGTGGGGGCATTGCTTGGCTCTATGTGTTAGCATGGAGGGGAGGCTGAGTGCTTCCTTTCCTTTTGGAGTCCTCTGAGATTTCTCTCCAGGTGCCTGCCCTCTAGACCCTCAGGATGAGGTCAAGGTGGGGGTAGGAGGTTGGCTAGTGCCTAGACCTCAGCTAGTGCCTAGATCTGGACACACAGACCTCCACGCCCATGCGACTCGGAAAGAGGTCTTGGGGTAAATGATAAAGCACTCTTCCAGAAATAGCGTTTGACCACTTTCCAGAAGATTCCGCGATTCCCTACTAATTGGTCTTAGCTAATAGGCAATGATTTGTAATTAGCAAGTTGTGTGTAAATGAATGCCATGAATGGCCTGCACACAGTTCTTCTCCCAAGCAAGTGAAAGTTCCTCTCTTATACGTAATTGATTTATACCAGTAATTGACCTGCCCTTCAAAGAATAGTGACCTTCCTCACACCGACTGTCCCATATGCTCACGTGTCCAGTTAGTGCTGGCTGAACGGGAGTTTCTGTCTACCTGTCAAAGTCCAAATGGGCATAGAAGTACCTTTGGATCGTCTTAGAGCCTGCAGTATGGGACATCGGGATTCCCGTGGAAGATGAGCTAAGGACAGATGTTCCTGGCTGCAGGCATGAGAAGGTGGTCCTTGTTCTTGTATTGCTGTGGAACTTTTCCTACCAGTGTCGGGCTACTGTTCAAGGGCAGTCCCCCCAGCACACAGAAACTTACAGTCAGGAGAACTCTACCTTCAACAATGAACACATTCTTCTTGTCTATTGCTCAAAGGGGAATAAATAAAATTCTGAGTGTATGCTTATGTCTATAGCTGCACCTTCTGTCCATTCACCCATCCATCCATCACCCATCCATCCATGATCCAGCCATGCAGCCAGCCAGCCAGCCATCATCTCAATCACGGTTCTCACAGTGTTTTGTATCATCTCAGGAACCCATTTGAAACTCTTTTCCCTTGGTAGATCTCTTCCTCTTTTAAGGCTGACCACTGTCCGGCCTCCTCCTTGGAGCTTACAAGGTCCTGCTGGTGGGTGACATTCAGAAGGCTACGGGGCAGAGCTTGGCTGCTGAAACAAAATGGATAGCAGAACCTCCTTCTCCGGTAAGCAATCTGAGCCGCAAGTTGTGAGGACACTTTTGTCCTAGGAAAGCATCCCCTGAGGAATGTCCGGTCCTGTCTGTCAGAGACATCAATCATGGGTGAATCCAAATCACAAGGTCATCTCTAGAATCTTCTCTTATAATGACTAAGAGGGTTTCTTCATTGAGTCTCCAAGATGTAAAACAAAGACCAATTTTATTGCAACATAGCTGACTCCAAGTAAAACATTCTTTTTTCCTTATCTCCCAGTGACTGCAGAGTTACGGTTCCTTCTTTTCAGTGGATATTTCAAATGTAGCTTGCTGTTAAAACAGGATGAGCAGGAAGTAGCACTATGGCTCAAGTGGTAGAGTGCTAGCCTTGAGCTAAAGAGCTGAGGAACAGCGCCCAGGTCCAGAGTTCAAGCCCCATGACCAAAAAAATAAAAGAATAGGGTGCGCAGTGTAGTTGCCTTTGCTGTCTCACTGGAAAAACAACCATGGCACCAGCGGTGCCCACAGCCTGCTGCTCTGCCGGAGCGCGCCTGGCGTGGACCGAGCTCAGCGCGGGCTCTCACAGCCTGCTGCTCTGCCGCAGCGCGCCTGCCTGGCGTGGACCGAGCTCAGCGCGGGCTCTCACCTGCGATTTCACCCAGAGCGTAGGTGTCACGCTGATCTTTAGCCCTCGCGTTCCCCCATGAGTAGTGCATTGGTTCTAATTTGTGAACCTGCTCAGGTTATTCCCGGCGTTGTGGCCACTGGGACTGTGTGGACTGTGTGCTCTGTATTTCCATAGCAGGCACTTCAGGCAGGCGCTGTAGTCTCACGGTGTGATGCCAAGGGCTTCTGGGCCCTTCAGGGCATGTCTTCATTGCCAGACAGGGGACCCCAGGGAGGAATCTGGTGGGGAGCGTCTCTCTACCAGAGGAACCGAAGGCTAATCTGACGCTATGGATGCAAGCAGCTTGCTCACCGTACCCATAGGATTTCAGGGCATTTGCTCTAAGAAAAGGGGTTGGTTTCTGTAAGTGGAGCTGGGTTCCTGAGCACATCTCACTCTATTCCCTTTCTGTTTGGGCAGGTGTGCTGGCGTGGGAATTCAGCTGGAGATGCGCTGGTAGTCTCTCTAGTGCTCCTGACCCAGGGCATTTATTCATTGCTATTTCTGCTTTAGCAAAGACCACGCTAAGGGAAATCTGGTTAGCTGCCAGCAAGGTGTCAGGCAGGCATTTACGGAACATTTACCGGGGATCACCAACAATGCTGGATGGGTCCCGGAGGCTGCGTGTGAAGTAGTCTGAGATCAGGAGCCTTCATGTCTCCTGGGTGAGTAGAGAGAAGAGGTAACTTCAGGTGCAGGAGAGTTCCGTATTGTCTCTCCCTTCCTTGGAAATGGTCCGCAGAGGACTTTGTCACCCGCTGGAGGGGAGATGCTGTCCCCGATGGGTGAGAAAATGTCCTGAAGCAATACAGCTCCTCTCCAGGGTGTTGTTGTTTTTTCTTTTCCAATTTGATTACTGTAATTCAGTAACCAGCTTTAGAGTTTATCTTCTCTACCCATGTTAGTGTGATAGGAGTGGAAGCCATCAGCAGAGACGAGTCTGGACCTCAGTAGTCTGCTACGAGGGGTCCATGCTGCTCTGGTGTCCACCAGGGAGGGAGAAGGAGGGGGAGCTGCTGGAGCACTGAGCATCAGCGAGGAGGCAGAGGCCTGGCTCTGTTCCCATCATTCCCACAGAAACACAGAGGAGAAGAGCCTTCAGAGAATGCTTGCTGAATAATACACACGTGTGTATGCCTGCACACACACGCACATACCTATGCACACACACTCTCTGACAAAAATACACTCACATACATGCACACGGCTCCCACACATACACAAAGGCTCTCTATGTGCCCACAGTTCAGAGCTCCTCAAACCTGAGCATGTGCATGAAGCACTGGGGCCTCCCCTTAAGGTGCAGCTCTGGTCCAGAAGAGCTGGGCTGGGTGAGGCAGAATCCAGAGAAGAGTCTCTTGCAGTTGTAAACAAATTTCCAGGTGCTTCCTTGAGGGGACTTGGAGTAACCAGACACACTCAGTGCACACTGTGCAGTTTTTTTTTCTCTGGAGTTGGTGTTTCTATGTAACTGAGAAGTACTGTGTATGATGGAAAAATTCTTCCTAGTGTGTGAGAATGGGCTGGGATCCAGGAGCTGCTAATCCCTGCCCAGTCATTAGTAACTGACATCTTAGACTTGCGATTGGGGAGCTTTCTTTTAGCTTTTAATCTGTATTATGTGGTGTTCATTACTGTCAGGAAATACCTGATGCTGGATTACCTTATAAAGAAAAGAAGTTCATTTTTGTCATGGTTTTAGAGGCCCAAAGACAATGTGTCCCAGTGTTAGCTGTGGTCAGGACATCATGGTAGATGGTGTGACAATGCTCAAAGAGATAGAGATAAAAGGAGACGGGAAGAGAGAGGGGAAGGAAAGAAGGGAGAGGAGAGATGGAAGAGGAAGAAAGAGACTGTCAGGGAGAGCAGATATTGTAAGAGAGGCAGAAAGAGGGAGGGAGACGAAAGAGAGGAAGAGAGAGACACAAAAGGAATACAGAAAGACAGGGAGAAACAGATAGAGGTAGACAGAGAGACAGACAGGGAGGGGATATATTTCATCTAGAGACAGGGCACTAAAGAGAGAGGACAGCTATGTTTATAACAACTCCCACTTGAAAGCACTAACTCCAGGTCCTGTGAAAAGGGCCTTCATTTCTTTAGAGGACAATAGCTCTGGCATCTTTCCATTGGGTTCCTGATTACAGGCCCAATCTCTTAAACATGGCCACACCGGGACCCAGCCTCCAGCACAAGAACTGAGGAGGACACACATTAACGTCAGAGCAGCAGTAACACAGGAAACTTCCACCCTCCTGTGGGATCAGGCCACAGCAACCGGAGGATCAAGGGCTGTCTTGGAATTTCAGCTGTCCTGAGGACACACCCATGTGTGCCTTGACAGGTGCAGGGAGAAGACCTTGCACACCAGGGAGCATTTTTTTCCAGTTCTTGATGAGTGTGAGATAGAAGTTAATCTTTTAAATTCTAAGTTATTTCATATGAGTCGAATGGAAAAATGATGACAGCAAACAAGCTGTGTCTACTTTACCTGGTTGTGTTTGATGTCTTCAGCGGGTGCACCATAGGAATTCCTATACAAAGTTGAAATACCAGTGTTCTGAGCTACAAGCAAAAGGAGAGCACATGTATTAGCAGAAAAGCCTGATTCCAAGTGCGGAGTTGTAATGACTGTTAGAGCAAACACTCGCCCGGCAAAGCTTGGTTGTTCGGGGACCATTCCAAGCAGAAGGAATTGTTTGGGCCCTGAGCACCCTTTTATATGCAGCGATTCAGGGGGAAGAACAGTTATTTTATAAAGTCTGCACAGCCCGCCAGGCTCTTCCAATAATTGCTCACATCCCAGACAGGGTCAGGGCAGGTGTGACGCACACAGATGGTCATCTTGCAAGTTTTATTGCCTTCCTTTCTGGTGAAAACGGGCGGATAATAAAAGCTTGTCGGTTGCACTGAAGCATGCCCTCGTCTGCATCAGCAGCTTAGTTTTTTAGCTGGAGAATGACAAGAATAACACTTCTCATTTGAGTTCACAGAAGTGCTTGATCAGGGTTCAGACAGTTCATTTCTCGGAGGTCTACGGGCCTGGCAGAGGGCGCCACGGGAACGTCCCCTGCAGCTTTGCAAGCTTAGAGGGGGCAGAGACAGAAGCCCCACTCTGTCTTTCTGGCCTGCCTGGAGTCTGGATGAATGGGAAGAAAGCCTCTTCTACCTACCAGAAGCTTCCTTATTTTCCTGTTGCAGGTGGGGGCCCTTTGTCCTGCCAAGGGCCATTTGAATATTCATCACATCATACGTGGGTCATACGTGGGTCATATAAAATGATCATGGGCCATGGCAGCCAATGAGAAGCACACTGAAGACATCCATGTTTATCCTGTTGTGTACCAAATGGTTTTGTGGGCCTGACAGCTCCCAGCCCTGGCTACTGGCTCTTCTGTGGCCCTGGAGGCCCATGCCAGCTACCAGGCTGCCTCCTTGTTAGTGGTCAGGTGACAGCTCGGATGTCCCCTTCTTATCCCCAGCAGGCGAAGGACCCTTCCCACCTGGCCTCCCAGCCTCCCAGAACTCTGCTGAGTCTTTTCATCTCACCCAACATAGTGGGGGCACTTATTCTATCAGAGAAGCCCAATGAAGACAGTCTGCCCTGTCACTGAGGCTGGTCTCAGTGGCCACTTTATTTGATGGGTCTATCAATTAAAGCATAAGCCTCAGAAAAACCTGCCTTCAGAGCTATAACTTACTGCTGAAAAATGTCACTTCAAGGACAAGATGGAATTTTGATCTTTCAGTGGTTTAGAATAAATTTTTTTTTCAGGGGGGAAATAGAATAGTTGAACTCTTAGAGTCTTGGCTCTTAGAGTCACTCGGTATGTTTGTAGCTTCTGAGCGAAAGGTATTCCTCTTGGATGTTCTCTTTGGCCTGTTAAAGGAGACTGGTCGACACTGAACCATTTTCACAGCAGGTGTCGTCGTCAAGCATATTCTGTCCACGTGTTTGCTAAGAGCAGGTTTACAGAGAAACACTTTTCCTTCTTCCGCATCATCCCACAAACATCTACTTTCCAACTGAATCAATATATTAAGATTCAAATGGCTTTAAGAGGCATAAGAGGCTATGGCAAAAACACAGAGACCATATGGTGAAAAGGCATTGAAGAAAGCCTAGAGGGGGGTAAAGACCCTAGGGAAGACTTAAAAGTCAGCGCATGCAGGCAGGGACCCGAGGTCTGCACACTAGAGACTCTGACATAGTCACGAGCATGAGGGTCAGCTGTTGAAGTTCAGCATGCCCAGGAAACAGCAGACATCGGCTTTCCAAGGCCACTCAGAAACAGACACTGAGGGGATAAGGCACCTCAAGAAATGTCATCTAGGTTAGACAATGAATCCAGAAAAGGAAGGAAGTGGGGGTGGGATGAAAAGCAGGAGTTGAATTTCTCTATTTTTACCCTCCCTCCCTTTCTTCCATCCCTCGCGAGCAAAGCCTAGTATAGTGTGTCCAGCATCTTGGAACCTCTTCTACTATGAGTAGTGTCAGGAAACGAAGTCTGGGGTGAGTCCTTTCTAATTTGAAGCTGGTCACATGAAAAGGAAAGATTAAAATAAATTGTGTGCAGACTACATTTTCTCTTGGCTGCTTCAAAGACTAAGATGCTATTTTTAGACCTGTACTTGAAAGTCCTCATTTCAAGTTCCTGGGCTTGATGGCTCTGAGGATCCCAAGTGATCCAACGGCTACTAAGTCCTCCTGAGCCCCAAAGCATGGCTTACAGCTTGAGGCCCCAGCCCTCGGCCCCATCCCAGGTCAAGGAGGAAGTGCGGAACTGTGCTCACCTGTCATGGTATCTTTCCTGGATGTGTGTTCGCCTTTAGTTCCGTGGTAAGTGGCACTGCTGCCGGTGGACTCATAGTCTGTTTTCCTTTCTTTGAGGCTGATCATTTCCCGAGGTGAAGCTGGGGCACTTGCTATGTAAAGCAATGAAAAGGATGATTTTCACATTCCATGGTATATACACACCTTTTCACACCAATGGTTAATGTCATAGATTCACACGGTCCCTTAATACATAGGCATGGTCTCCTGAGACTCTTTGTATGGGTGGGGGTGTTCTTCTTCTTTTTCTTCTTCACTTTCCCTCACTCTGTGACACTGGTGTTTTGCAGTAGTGAGGATGTGTGTGTCTTAGAGAGAGAAATAAGGATTACATCCCAGGTTCCTCTTCCTTGGAGAGAAATCTTGGTAGGGGTAGGACCTGCCTAAGGTTTAGCTGGGCAGTGTTAAAAATGAGAATGGTTTTTCTGTCTTTCTCTCTCTCCTTTCTTTCCCCTCCCTCCCTCCCTCCTTCCCTCCCTTCCTTCCTTCCTTCCTTCCTCCCTTCCTTCCTTCCTCCCTCCCTTCCTCCCTCCTTCCTTCCCTTCCTTCCTTTCTTCCTGTCTCTCTCTGTCTCCCTTCTTTCTATTTAAATCAGAACCACTTCAGAGGACCCATTATGACTTTAAGCAGCACAAATCTGAGAAATCCAAATCTAGATGTTTCAAAAGCTAAAACTTTTTGAGCACGGGCATGACGCCAAAGTTAGAAACCTCTACACCATTTCTCCTGGGATGAGTTTCAGATTAAACACACAAAATGATTTGAAAATTGTGTAAAGTTATCCTCAGGGTGTGTGTATAAGGTGTGTATGAAACGTAAATGAATTTCAGGTTTTGACCTGGAAGCCATCCTCAATACAGCTTATTATGTATATGGAACTATTCCAAAATCCACAATTTATAAAAGGGAAAAAAGTCAGAAATACAAAATGCTTCTGGTCCCAAGCACTTTGAATAAAGGCTAATTAACCTGTATTCATAATTAAATAATCCTTAATTTAAATGGGTACAACGTGGCTTAAGAAGTCACCCAGAAACTGCCTAAAGGAAGGCAGAGAACACAACTCTTCTGAAGAAGGATTCATGGGGCTGAAATGGCCAAGGCCACCATGCTTTGCTCCAGGGTGGCAAAGGGGCAGGCATGAAGACCTCTCCTTGTCCCTTGTAGATGAACACCCTGGCCATTCTCCATGCCTTACATTTTAGTCCCCTACTGCCTGCTGGATGCAAGGAATGAGTTCTATCATCTCTGAGTCCCCAGTTCTAAAAAGATGTATCTAAGCCTAGGACAGCTCCCGGGAGTTCTAATGAGGGGAACCTGGGAGGTGTGGGTTGTTTTCTGGGAGACAGCAAACCTAGCCTGCCAGTGCAAGGGCTGGGAGGAGGGGAGAAACAGCAGTGCCCTGGGGCTGGATTGGTGAGGGGTTTCACGATGGCCCTAGGGTGGCATCCGGCTCAGTAAGAGCTCAGCCATGATGCGGTTCTGGCTCTTGTCTTCCCCCATCTTTCTGCATCCTAAGGCAGTGCTGCATCAACCTGCTTAACCCAAAGACCCAGCTAAGACTTTAGGTACTGTCAGACCATCCCCTAGGCCACTGGAGTCTGAATTTGCAGTGGAGGGGCTTCAGGATCCCTGTTTAATGAGGATAATTAAGGCTAGGGCTCCCTGTGAGAACTCTGATGTTTAGCATAAGGCCTTCCTTCCTTTGCTAGTGTCCTAGCCCTTTCATCTGTGCCTCAGTTTACTGATCAGTGCATTATCTACATCCTGTGTAGGGATCCTCAGCCCCAGAACTGGGCCTGCTTGTACCCAGAACATACCTCTTTTTCCACTGTTTGAGTCCCTGGATTCTTTTTGTCAGACTTAGTATCCTCTATTTGCAAATCCCTGCGCTAGCCGGTGAGGGAGACAGAGATGTGAATTCTGCTGCACTTCCTGGAGGGAAGTAGGGCTCTCAAGAGAAGCAATGCAGAAGGAAGCACAGGCAATGCCATGCCAAGTGCTGGGAAAGGTCGCCAGCCTGAAAGGCCTGCAGCCCACTTCCCAAACTTATCAACATCAGATCAAGACTCATTGCTCCAGCATTTCTAACCCTGGTTGCTCATTCAAATTAGGTACCCAGACTTCTTCTGAAACACTGATGCTTGAGCCCCATCCCACATCAGTTGTGTGGGAAGCTCTGAAGGGGAGAGAGGAAAGAAAACCACAGCAGCTGGCAACAGCCCATAGGGCCTGTGTCACTCCTGAACACACCGATAACTGTGATCAAACACAGTGCCACAGCTCCCTGCTATACAGGAGCCTGGGCAGGCAGGGGAGAGAATGCCCCAGGTCTGTGGCAAGCGGGGACAGGCTGGCAGGACAAGAGCCACTTCTGCTCCAGTGGGTAGAGCAGGGGGACATATGGCACATTACACTGACTCTTGGGGTTCTAGAGATTGAAGAGGAACCTCTGAAAGGAAATTGGGGCCCATAGCAAGTCTCTGACTATTCTTGGCTGTGTCTAGCTTCCGCCTGCTCTCAGAGCACTGCTTGCTGGTCTCGCTCACTTCCTTCATCCTGTGTCTCTCCTCCTCTCTGTGCGTCCTCTTTTACAGGAAGCCTCCCTCTCTCCTTGCCCCTTTGCTGCTGGGCCTTCCTGCACCGAGAATGGCCTCTTAGGTGTCACTGCCAGGTAATCACAAAGGCACAGTATTCTGAAGACTCTTGACCAAAGCTTTGAAAATTAGAGCCTAATATTGCACAGATGGTGATGTTTATTAAAGCACATCAAGTGTGTAATTATCTCCGGAGACCTCACACAGCAGTGCTCTGAATCTCCAATAAATCAGGATAAGCTCTGGCAAAGGAAAAAAAAATCAAATCATGCAAACAGGCGTTTATTAGTGTCTGGATGTGACTGGCTTAGGAAGCAGCTGGTCCTTCCTGAATCGCAGCTCACACCTGGCCCCGCCTGCCCTGGAGGGGGCCGCACCTTCCACAGGAAGGTCAAGGATTGGCTCTCTGTAGTTCCTCATAATTAGACTCTCGTGGAATGGGGTAGTCGAAGCGGGAGAGGCCCGCCTGTGTGCTCCACTCACGGGAGGGTCTTGATTCTTCCCTGTCTAACCCTGGACACATAAGCTTCCCGGAGCCAGAGGGAGGCCCAGCTATTCCAGCCCGGTGTTTCCCACTCACTTCTGTAGTTCTTCCTCAGGCTGACAGGAAAGTCTGGGGTGAAATTTTAAGACAATCGTTCTCAGGGAAAGAGAAAGCACTTCAGTGCTCAGTGCCTGCTGCCAGAGGTGCTAGGATGACGTTCCAGAAAATACAAAATTTCCTCAGCAAGTGGAGGGCAGGGCAGGGAAGAAAGGTTGGCATAAATAAATGCCTAAGTGATTAGGTAGGTGTGGGTACATAGAATTCATGTATTCTTCCTCCAGTCTCTGAACAGATATAAAATGCAGAAACCAAAAGAAAGGTTTTAAACACTTACATGTTGACTTAAACAACAGTGACACTCTGCCATGTCTCTTACTGAATTACGTGTTCATATTCAATTTACCTTTCGTCTTGCCTTAATCTTTGGTATTACTGAAAATGGCTGAAAAAGGATATAAAATGTTTTCTTTTAACAAATAAAAAATTCAGCTCAAAATTTAAGCAGTAGGAATATGACAGAATTAAAAACAAAGCCAGGCACTAGTGGCTCACATCAGTAATCTTAGCTACTCACGAGGCTGAGATCTGAGGATCACAGTTCCAAACTATCCTGGACAGAAGAGCCCTTGTGATTCTTAGCTCCAAATAATCAGCAAAAAGCCAGAAATAGAGGTATGGCCCAAGTGGTAGAGTGCCAGCCTTCAGTGAAAAAGCCAAGGAGAATAAGAGGTCCTGAGTCGAATCCCCAGTACTGGGGCTTATATGGGATAACTTGTAGTAATGGGATAATGGGATAATTGTAGTAACAATTAATAATTAATCAAACTGAATATAAGTAGTTACGGAGCCTTCAATGGTGTATGTCAAATTTATAATCACACCAGAGGAAGAAACAAAACATCTTGTCTCCTCTGCTATAGTTTAATTTTCCAATTGCAAAGAAAATACAATTCAAACTTTGAGTCTTACAAGTTGCTCCATAGAGAACTCTGATGTGCAAGTTCTTCAGAGATTTTTCTTATACTTGCTACTTGCTGATTGCAGGTTCACGGCAGGCCTTCCACACCCGGGAAGCCTGCTTCAGAGGGCCTTGCTCTGAATGTGTGTGTACGTTTTATCGAGTTACCACCATGATCAAAAGAAAGTAGAAGATGGCTCTGTGTCTCATGCTGATCATCAGACCTACTTAAAAGGCTGAATTCTGAGGATCGAGGTTTGAAGCCAGCTTGGGCAGGAAAGTCTGTGAGACTATTATCACCAATTAAGCACCAAAATGCCACAAGTGGAGTTCAAGTGGTAGAGCACTAGAGATAACACCTAATCCCTGAGTTCAAGCCCTAGGACTGGCACACACATACACACACACACACACACACACACCCACACACACACAGAACCATTCATACTCTGCCCACAGGCCACATCTGGGTGTGTGTGTGGGTGTGCTCAGGGGGAAGCTGAGGCCTGGGCGGGCCCTGGGCCATCTCTTACCTGAGCGGTTGTTGGGAGACACGCGCACAGGGGAGATGGAGGGTGTGCGGGAGGAGGAGTAGGGCCTTTGCCGATCCCTCTCGATGGTTGAAGATGAGGCTACAAAGTGATACTGTGACCATCCATCCTGCAAAGACAGTGTGTGCCCATTAAACCAGCAAGGCCGGGCATTGCTGGCCTCCTGACACCACAGGGGGCCAAGCACCTGCATCCGCAGCACATTTCTAGAGGGTGTCAGGCACGTGTGGAGCTGTGCAGCTCATCAAAGGGGAAATGGAGACACCGCCTCCTCCTCAGACAGCCCATTCAGGAGGGTCTGCTCTTAGTGCTGCCTTTCTTTCCCACATGTTGAACAAATGGTCTCTTGGCCTAACTTGCTTTGCCAGAGGTTTCTATTAAATGCAAATGGGATGCTCAGACTGTCAGGTGATCCTGAAAGCGCCTGTCCTCCGCCTGCCCGCCTTCAGTTCTGCTTCCTCTCTGAAAGCCTCGGAGGCTCCTCAAGTGTGAAGCGTTTATTACTCTCCCTGTTTAGGAACGACCTGTGAGCTATTGGAGGCCAAATCCTCCCTTCCCATGGATCTCCCTCCCTGTTGTGAATTTTTTCTTCTCAGCCACAAATGCCTAACTCCCCTGGTTCAGGGCCTTCACAGGGCTGCTAAGCATTCTCACCTCCACCCTCTGGTGGCCCCAGGAAACACCCTGTCCATGAGCAAGGGCACAATGCAGCTTGCCAATTCTTTAGCCTGCCCGTACCTAGCCCATGTGTGGAAAGCATAGGAACTGTTTTTATGGAGAAAACATGCAACAGACATCACGGATCAGTTTGTGAGTTTAGAAAGCATGAATATTAACGAAAACATCTCATGATTCCAAACCCCCAGCCCAGGGATCTCCCATGAACAATACTACAGTCTTTCCTTCCAGTCTTCTTTTTAAACTTCAATTCTATTTCTTTTTTTTTAAGTTTAAAAATATTATCTCTAAGTAGTTGTCTAAAGAGGTGGCCAGTTAATGAAGCCGTTCATGAACATATACCTGTCGATCCATGTCACCCTTTAACATTCTCACCCACTGCTCCCCTCACAAGTCTATTTCCATCACAGCAACGCGTCAGAGTGCTGCGTGGAGCATGACGGCCTGTGCTGAATGGCCCACCGCCTGGAGAGCGATGGCAGGAGGGCCAGGGGTTCGAGGTTAGCAAAACTATAGTGAGATTCTGTCACACAAAAGTCAAGGAGAAGCCCCAGTGTGGTGGCATCCATCGGGAAGTCTAGTGAATTGGAAGACACAGATCAAGAGGACGTGGTTCTAAGTCAGCCTGGGTCCAAAGTTTGTGGGTTCTAGTCACACAAACAAGGCAGGTGTGGCGGTGTGAAGGTCAAGTGACAGCAGGAGGAGCATCGCTGTCTGGCTGGCTGAGGGAAATGGTGTGAGATTCTGTCTGAATATTAACCTAAGAGAAAATAAAACCTGAAGGTGTGGCTGCTGAAGTGCTTGGCCCCGAGTTCCAACATCGAAAACAGAAACTGCACCAAACGTCCCCACAAGTAAGTCGTATGTCTGGATGGCAGCAGGAGGCGGCGCGGGCACTGACTCCCGTAGTTGCTTCATGGAAACACTTATTTCCAATTTTTTGAGGGGGGAGAGTGGATGATTTTTAAGGGTTTCAATGCACTGTAAAGCATGATCACAAATAGTAACAGGAGAAAATGAATAAGGAACACAATTCATACTTATTTCTGCATTTACGTCTCTCGTTTATCTAATATTCATTATTCCTGCGGGTGACTGGCAGGACAAAGCCGAGCCTAGAAGCAGGTAACTTTAGAGGAGCTGGCAAATACTGGTGTTTACTATGTGACGAGAGCTGAGCTGTGTTACAATCTCACTTTGCCCAGGAAGAGCCTGACCTTGGGGTCTCCACAGTCAGGACAGTCAGTGAGCAGAAACGCTGGGCTGGACACAGTGGGAGGTACCATCCACTCCTCAGAAGCAGGGGAGGGCAGGGAGCACAGAGCTGCTGTGGCCACGGAAGGGCTCTGAAGAGTGAGTGCTGTAGTCTGGGCTATGGCAGGGGGCCATCAGGAGCCAGCAGGAAGGGCAGAGGAGTGAGACGAGTGAGGGGAGGGGCCGTGAGCGGGGGTGGGTGACACATGGACCAGGAAGCTCTCTGCTCCCAAGCTGGCGTCCCACTGAACCTCCTTTGTACAACTACCGAAGGACAGTGATAGTGATAGTGATTACTAATGATAACCAAAGGCTTCTGTGACTGAGGGGTGAGCAAGGGGACGGGGGTGGGGGCTGGAGTCCTCGCGTGTCCAGGCAGTTGGGCAGTGGGCGGGCGGTGAGTGTCTGGGAGAGGGAAGAGTGTGCAGAGACTCAGTGGGGCTGTGAGGACAGCACATGGCTGGGAGCTCAAGTCTTACCCCCAACTTCTGAGGTAGAACAAAGGGCGTGGAGGTGTCTTTCTCTACCCAGGCAGCCAAAGGGCAAGAAGCAATTTAGGAGATGGAAACCAAGACTGCCTTTGGGGCCTGTTAGGGCAGAGACACTCATAAGGCCTGGAAGAGAGATGGAGAATTGAGCAGAATCTGCAGAGCAGATCTCAGGAGCAAGGCCTGGGCCAGAAAGGCTCTAATTTAAATACAAATAAAGGAAATCAGAAGATAGCGAGTCCAGGGCAAGCCAGCAGGTAGAGGGTGCCCAGAGTTAGAGGCCTTCCAAGGAGGCGGAGAAGGAACAGTAAGCCGGGGGTGGCAGGGGGTGGGTAGGGCAGCCTAGGTAGGGGTGACAACGCGTAAGATTAGGAGAGCTGATGAATAAAGAAGACCAGCCAAATGAAGAGGACCCAGCACCTCCTTGGGTCCTGGGAAGATGGAAATCATGTGATGGGCAGGCACAAAGGTTCCTTATTTGGAGACACTGTGAAGGCTACTTCTCCACAGCTCGTAAGAATGGGAACCAGTGAGGAGGAGGCAGTCTTTGCCAGAGTTCCACATGAAGGGCAGTGGAGTCGTGGAGCCAGATGAGAGCGAGAATCCGAGATGTTTCAACAGACGCCCTGGAGGATACTGCAGTTCTTCTACTGATGGAATGACTCAACATCAGGAGGAAAAACCTGGTGATTTCCCAGAGAGGAGAACAGTGGAGAGGCACAAAGGCTGATAGGATTCAGCGAGCAAAGAGGTTACTGGCCCCAGGACAGGAGGCAGGAGGGACAGGCTGTCTAGTGAGGAGATGGGGCGGCCGACCCTTACACAGGAGACCGAGGACATTCTCTCTTGTCATTTCATGTGTTCTCACAGAAGAGGAGAAGTGAGGCCATCTACTACAAGTAAGCCGGGACTAGAGTTTAGAGAATAAGACAGAGGAGGAGGAGGCAGGAGAGAGGGGGCACGTAGAGTGATTCTGGAGACCAGCGGGGTTCACAAGTTGGCTGTGGCCAGGTGGTTGGGTGGCTCGGGTGAGGGGCCAGGTTGGGGGGTGGGATGCTGGGGTGGGACTTGGGGTGCGTGGCAATGGAGTTAAAGTGAGGTGACTAAGCAGCAGAATAGTTTGCATGTCTCCAGCCACCTCCAGCTGCTCTGCGGAGGTGCAGAGTGGGTAACACTGGATGGAAGTTGTCAGCTAGTAACTTCAAGAGGTACAGGGAGAAGGGAAAGTCACAGGGACCCACACCAGCTATGCAGGGGAGAGGAAAATAGGATGTGAGGGAGGAAACAGAGGGAAAAGGAGTCAGTGGACTGGAGATCCTACAAGAGTCAGAGACTGCTGGAGTGGGGGTACTTCACAGATTCTATGACTTTCCTGAGTGGGGAATAATTCCTTCCTTCCTTCCTTGCTTCCTTCCTTTCTTGTTTCCTTCCTTTCTCCTTCCTCCTCCTTCTTCCTCCTCCTCTTCCTCTTTCTTCTTAAGGCTCTACCACTAGAGCCACAGCTTTTTGTTGGTTCACTGCAAATAAATGTCTCACAGACCGTCCTTTCTCATCTGGCTTCAAAACTCAGTTCTCAGGTCTCAGCCTTTTGAGTGGCTAGGATTACAAGTGTGAGCTGCCAATGCACAGTGAAAAGAAACTTCTTGAAAATACTGTGGCATGAAGAGGACATCTACTCTACCTGCAGGGCCAGTGACATGGGAAATGAGACAGCTCTTCTTGGAGAAGGCGTGAGGGAGCGTGTCCCCAGGGCCATGGAGTGCCCGCTAGGCTTCAGGGGACTTCACTGTCAACAGACCATGGGGTACCGAAGGAAAGGAGGGGGAAGGACGCTGCTGGGTGTCTGTGCCGAGTATGGCCTGTTGAAGGTCTTTGAGGAGTGAGTCTAGGAAATGGTGGACAATTCTAAGAGCTTGGACACTGATGGCAACTGAGGTAATGAAGTAAGAAGAGCCCAGGCTGCGAATGACTCCTGGGGCAGAGTGGGCATGTGTTGTGACGAAGGACAGGAATCAAGGTAGGAGCAAGAAATGTCCACATCGATTTTTTCTCAGTACTTTAGAGGGTGCTGCCAATGGCAGGGGAATGACATTTATATAATTTAAGAGAACGAAGGGGGTTCAGTTTAGCACGTCGGTTTATGAGTACAAGGCGTCTTGATTAATGTCACTCCTTCCATTAGTTCTCCCTATCTCTCCCAACTCCATCCATCCCCTCAGCTCCATCTTCACATCTATACACTGGAGACGATGACTGCATCCACCTACCCTTCCTCTCTCCATGGGGGAAGGGCGTGTGCAGGGTAGAACATGCTTCCAAGTTGTATACACCAATTACTCAGCCTGGGAATGACAGAAGACTGCTTAAAAATACTTCCATTGGTGTTGACAGCGAAATTCCTACAGACGACGAAACCCAGGCAGGCCATCTTGTCTCTGTCTCATCCATGACACTTTGCTGTTCTAAGTGGTGGCTGGGGACACAGTTCTGATCATAAACCTTGGCTGCTTGGGGCATGAATCAATGATGGTATTCTGTATATCATTTAAGGTAAGCAAGGTATTTTACAGTAACAATACTGGTTAATATTTGATATGTTCTAAGACCTGTAACTAGGCTACCACATAGCGCTCTCCATGTTTGGTCATGCCAGGGAAAGTGAATATGAAAGCAAAACTACATAGGAAGG